CGTCTCTGGGACAGACCGGAACCCCGGCGTCCGTTTCTACAAGTGCCCGAACCAGGGATTTAGTCTGATTTTTGTACGCCCATACATCAGATGAACTAGTTTTTGTTGCTGTTTTTGTGTATTTTGCTCATCATTCAGCTTGAAAACTGGGGCAGGACGGAGGGCTGTGTGTATTTTACTGGAGCCGGGCCACCTTGACGTGAAGACTGCACGTCGCAGCGGAAGCACCGGCTGCTGTTCTTGCGGTTCCGCAAGACATGCGCCTGAGCTGTGCTCCCCACATGACATGCACCCGAGCTGTACTCCTGGTCAAATCGCCGGGCCCGCGCGCCAAAAGGACAATGCCCCAAACTGCATGGTCTGTCCACTTTTGGGCGTCAGACCTGTACCCGGGCCGATCCCACCACGGGCGACTTGAGCGCTGTATTTTCTTGTATCGAGCCAGTATGTCCGCTTTACTGATTTTGACGTTTTCTTTTGCACGGATCCCCTCGCGCAGCACGACCGTCGATGCGCTGCGTGCATCTGCCGCTGCGTGCAGGACGGCCGCTCTCCAGCTGCTGGCCGCTTGTTTCTGTAACTTGCCATCACAACAACTTGTGGTTTTGAGAAAGATTCGCTCCTCAAGCAGGTGCAGTCATTTGTGTCATGTGACAGTAAAAATAAATATTTATTTCAAACCCGATGGGTGCCCTAATGGGTCGGGTTGCCCGATGGGTTCGGGCATGGGTATGACTCAAGACCCATGGGTAGGGTCGTGGGTCTGCTCCTTTGCCCATTTGCTATTCGGGCATGGGTTTCATAGAGCTCTACCCGGTCAAACCCGACCCGACTGCCGGCTTGACTACAAACCCTAAAATATATTCGGATCCCAATTCGATATACACATTGAGAATAAAAAAAGGCAAATCTGTTGTGAATCATGTATTTTTTCACACTGTTCATGTTTTTTTTCTTTATTCACACTATTCATGCTGAATTTGTCTTTTTTGTTTTTCACTGTACAATTTGAATTTGGATCTGATTTTTTTCTATAGTTTGTACACACATATGTTGAGAACATCCATGATTTTTTCGATTTTTTTTGAAACATTTCAATCTGATTTTTTTTGAATTGGTATCATTGGAGCATATGTCCACAGGGCTTATCTCAATTTTTCTGTTTTTTATTTGGGCTCATCTCCCTCTCCCATTGAAATTTTGAGGCGCATTAAATCTTTGCATGTAAGAATTAAAAAGAAACTCACCAATACAATACATATAGTGTTTCTACTTATCTAGTGGCCAAGCATGTATGCACTGCAATTAAACCAAATTAATGCATTCGTTTAATTTGGGTAGTTTTATAAAGTATGAGATACATTCTTAGACTCACCATGTACCTTGATTGATGAGATTTTATATTTGAGCCTTGTAAACCGGAAAGGAAGGAGTACCACCATATTGATGGGGAACGTAGCATATGCAATTCCAAAAAAAAAATCCTACGCTCACGCAAGATCTATCTAGGAGATGCATAGCAACGAGAGGGGGAGAGCGTGTCTACGTACCCTCGTAGACCAAAAGTGGAAGCGTTTGTCGACGCGGTTGATGTAGTCGAACTTCTTCTCATTCCAACCGATCAAGCACCGAACGTACGGCACCTCCGAGTTCTGCACACGTTCAGCTCGATGACGTCCCTCGAACTCTTAATCCAGTAGAGTGTCGAGGAAGTAGATGAGTTACGTCAGCACGATGGCGTGGTGACGGTGATGGTGAAGTTATCCGCGCAAGGCTTCGCCTAAGCACCACGAGAATATGACCGGAGGCATAAACTGTGGAGGGGGGCGCCGCACACAGCTAACAATCGTTGGCGTGTGCTCTAAGCACCCCCTCGCCATGTATATATAGGTGGGAGGGGGCTACTTGGGGGCCCTATTCCAATTCGCCCCCCTTTCCTTTTATCGGAAGGCATCAAAAGGGAAGAGAGGGAGGAGGAAGGAAAGGGGGGCGAACCCCCTTCTCCTTCTCCTATTCAACCTCCTTCTTTAGGGGGGGGGGCGCCACCCCTTGTGGGCTGGTGTGCTCCCCTCCGATGGCTCATAAGGCGCATTATTCCCCCGAGGGTTTCGGTAACCCCCCCGGTACTCCGATATATACCCGATACATCCCGGAACACTTCCGGTGTCCGAATATTATCGTCCTATTTCGAGGCTCCTCGTCATGTCAGTGACCTCATCCGGGACTCCGAACAACATTCGATCACCAAATCACATAACTCATATAATACAAAATCGTCATCGAACGTTAAGCGTGCGGACCCTACGGGTTCGAGAACTATGTAGACATGACCGAGACACCTCTCCGGTCAATAACCAATAGCGGAACCTGGATGCCCATATTGGCTCCTACATATTCTACGATGATCTTTATCGGTCGAACTGTTATGACAACATACATAATTCCCTTTGTCCATCGGTATGTTACTTGCCCGAGATTCGATCGTCGGTATCTTCATACCTAGTTCAATCTCGTTACCGGAAAGTCTCTTTACTCGTTCCGTAATACACCATCCTGCCCGAGATTCGATCGCCGGTATGCTTCTCTGAGGTCTTTCATTGAAAACTTTTATTCAAGTATCCTTCTATGCTATCCAGAAATTCTATATCATTTCCAATCAACAATGTGTCATCCACATATAAATTAGAAATGTTGCAGAGCTCCCACTCACTTTCTTGTAAATACAGGCTCCTCCGGAAGTCTGTATAAAACCATATGCTTTGATCACCTCATCAAAGTGTATATTCCAACTCTGAAATGCTTGCACCAGTCCATAAATGGATCGCTGGAGCTTGCACACTTTGTTAGCACCTTTAGGATCGACAAAACCTTCTGGTTGCATCATATACAACTCTTCTTTAATAAATCCATTAAGGAATGCAGTTTTGACTTCCATTTGCCAGATTTCATAATCATAAAATGTGGAAATTGCTAACATGATTCGAACAAACTTAAGCATCGCTACGGGTGAGAAAGTCTCATCGTAGTCAACTCCTTGAACTTGTCGAAAACCTTTTGCGACAAGTCGAGCTTTATAGACAGTAACATTACCATCAGCGTCAACCTTCTTCTTGAAGATCCATTTATTCTCTATGGGTCGCCGATCATCGGGAAAATCCACCAAAGTCCACACTTTGTTCTCATACATGGATCCTATCTCAGATTTCATGGCCTCAAGCCATTTATCGGAATCTAGGCTCATCATAGCTTCTTCATAGTTCATAGGTTCATCATGTTCAAGTATCATGACGTCCAGAACAGGATTGTCGTACCACTCTGGTGCGGATCGGGCTCTGGTTGACCTACGAGGTTCAGTAGTAACTTGATCTGAAGGTTCATGATCATCATCATTAGCTTCCTCTCTAGTTGGTGTACGCATCATGGGAACAGATTTCTCAGATGAGCTACCTTCCAAATTGAGAGAAGGTACAATTACCTCATCAAGTTCTACTTTCCTCCCACTCACTTCTTTCGAGAGAAACTCCTTCTCTAGAAAGGTTCCATTCTTGGCAACAAAGATCTTGCCTTCGGATCTGTGGTAGAAGGCATACCCAATTGTTTCCTTAGGGTATCCTATGGAGACGCACTTCTCCGATTTGGGTTCGAGCTTATCAAGCTGAAGCCTTTTGACATAAGCATTGCATCCCCAAACTTTCAAAAACGACAGCTTCGGTTTATTGTCAAACCACAGTTCATACGGTGTCGTCTCAACGGATTTTGATGGTGCCCTATTTAACGTGAATACAGCTGTCTCTAATGCATAACCCCAAAACGATAGTAGTAAATTGGTAAGAGAGATCATAGATAGCACCATATCTAATAAAGTACGGTTACAAC